TGGCCGGGGCGGGGGGGGGGAGTGGAAATGTACTTGGGAGAGTGGTGGGGGTCTAGGAAAAAAAAATATTAAGTAAAATATGGTACAGGAGACATGCAGATGTGACAAGAATCCTGCAGGTAGCACATGAATAGCTGATGCTTAGGAAACACTGTCCTAAAAAACAAAACAAAACTGTGGCTGGTTAGGAAGGTAAATCCCAAATCAAAATGAATCTTCAGCATAATGTAAACACAATTAAGGAGGAAGTCTGTGGTCTTTGGAAGGACAATCATGCAATGATTAAGGTTTTGAGGAATCATGAATGAGGATGAATTTGGGGTTTGAGGCTGAGAGCTCAGGCAAGAGTGAGGGATGCTGGGCATACACCAAAGAAGTTTCTCCCTTTCCTGTCAAAAGCCCCGAGCACCCTGGGGAAGAGACCTCTCCCTTGACCAGAGCAAGAGGGGCATATGGGTGTAAGTGAATTAGAGGTTGCCCCGATCCTAACAAGATGGTGGCTTCCTGCTTAGCAGATAGTTCCTCCAGGAACCCTGAACCCAAATAATGGAGACAATAGTACTTTCCAGTAGCTGCCTCACCAGGGGGTGAGTGTGTGAGGTGGACGGGAAGAGTAACAGGCAGGCAGCATGTCACTGATGAGGCTACTCCGTTGTTCCAAACACCCAGGAAGAAAGAGGCAGGCCTGAAAGAAAAGACAACTTTTTGAGAGAAACATCCCCAGTAGGGGGAGAAGGTGCCAACGAGTCCCTGGTGTTCTCCCCATGAGCCTTTCTGTCCCTGCTACAGACCGAAAGTTTGTGTCCTCCCAACATTCATATAGTGAAATCCCATCCCCCAGTGTCACAGTATTAAGAAGTGGGGCCTTTGGGAATTGATCAGGTCATGAGGGTGGAGCCCTCATGTAAGGGATAGTGCCCTTATAAAAGGAACCCCGGAGAGCTCACTCACTAGACACCAAACTTGCCAGGGCCGTGATGTTGGACTTCCCAGCCTTCAGAACCGTGAGAAATAAATTTCTGTAGTTTGTAAGCCACCCAGTCTATGGTATTCTGTTATATTAGTCAAAGTAGACTAAGACATGGCCCATGGTTAGTCATTCTGGCTTGGTCTACGAGTGGAAGATTTCCTCAGCCACACAATGCAGACGCATGTGAGGTCTCCTTTGGAGGACTTTCTGTTTTGTTTAAGGGAACAATGCTATTTTCTACAATGTATTAGAAGGGGTATGCTGACAGAAAACCTAAGACAAAAACAAGGGAACCAAGAGTGATAACATTTCCTGTCTATCTTTACGATTCTTGTGTTTTGCCCCCAGTTTGGGGAAATCATGTGGCCAGCAGATAAACCCCACATTCACAGAAAGCCCATTACCCAAACCATCTGAGAGGAACGGTGTTTAACCAAAGGACCTCAAGAGGCTAAAATCCTGGACTCTAAATTCTGAATCTTGGCACAAAAGGCAAACTCAAGGTGACTCTGGGTAAAGTTTCATAATACAGAAAGTGACAGCAGGGAACCTTTTAATGGTCATCTGGCAGAAAGAGAGAAGCCCTGCCCTTGCAAGGCAACCCATGGCCACTATACTAACCGGGATGACCACCAACAGTCAGAAAAAAAAAGAGCACTTCATGACTTTAGGACTAACTGTATCCTATCAAAGTGGAAGGCAAGGTCCTGGTCTCAGTGAGGGACCTCATCAGAGGGTCATAAGAAGTTCAGAGCTCAGTTGGTTAGAGTATGGTTTTATAACACCAGGGACAATGGTTCAGATCCCCATACTGATCAGCTGCAAAAAAAAAAAAACTCCAGAGTGGGAAAACTGGGCCTGCCATGTTCTGCCATGACAAGTTAATTGACCCTGGACAAACTACTAAACCTGTATGGGCTTCTGCTTCCTTACGTGTTAACAGGAAGAAAATAATATGTCCATCATGCAGGGTGATTATGAGACTCAGAAAGCAGATTAGTAGACCATGTGGAAAAATTCCGCTTACCTTTGTTTTCAAGGATATGTATAGAAATTAGGTGTGAATCTCAAGATGTTAGAAGACAGTGTGTGATATTAAAATGTAGTCCGTCATTGTTGCTGTGGTTATAATCACCCTTGCATTCTTCCAATGTCCTCACCTATTACTTTATTGCTTTCAGCAACCCTGGGAGGAAGGTAAGGAAGAGCAAATAATAATGATCTCTATTTTACAGGGGAAGAGAGGCAAAGAGAGGTTAAATGTACTACCAAAGGTTGCCTGGCTGGTTTGCACAAAAGGGCTTTCTGTTCAATCTAGTCCAACAGAGTTGAAATTCCACATCTTGGGCCGAGCCTGCGGCGCTGGGAGCGCAGCAGCGCTCCCGCTGTGGGTTCGGATCCTATATAGGGATGGCCGGCGCGCTCACTGGCTGAGCGCGGTGCGGCCGGTCTCAAAAAGGACAAAAAAAAAAGAAATTCCACATCTTCAAAATAGGTGCCACGCTGGCCTGGGGTAAGGGGGAAAAAAGGGAGAGAGAAACATGTAGATGAGGAGACTTAAAAGACATATCAGCTGATAATGGGTATGAGGGTTCTTTCTGGGATAATGGAAATGTTCTAAATTATGGTGATGGTTTCACAACTCTGTAAACATACTAAAAAACATTGATTGGTACATTTTAAATAGATGAATTTTATAGTATGTAAATTATATCTCAACAAAGCTGTTTTAAAAAGGCATACCAATTTTTTTTTTTTTTTTTTAAAGTTGACTGGTAAGGGGATCTTAACCCTTGATTTGGTGTTGTCAGCACCACGCTCAGCCAGTGAGCGAACCGGCCATCCCTATATGGGATTTGAACCTGTGTCCTTGGTGTTATCAGCACCACACTCTCCCAAGTGGGCCATACCAATTTTTTTTTTCCTTTTTGTCTTTTTTACTGACCGGTAACGGGATCGCAACCCTCGGTGTCACAAACCGGTCTCCGGGATGGGATCCGAACCCTTGGCGGGAGCGCCGCCGCACTTCCCAAGCAGCGCACTCTCCAGTGCGCCACCGGGCCGGCCCACCAATTTTTTTTTAAATGGGCAAGACTAGACTATTGTGGTGGATGCATATTCATATGATAAAACTCTACAAAAATGCAAGAAGTGATTAGTATGAAAGTCGGGATTCCTTTCAGGCAAAGGGAGCATTTTGTGATTGGAATGGTGCACAAGAGTGAGCTTCTAGGGTCAGTACCAGGTTTTATTTCTTGACCTGAATGGTAGTTACAAAGTGTTTACCTTCTTTTGTGTGTGTGTGTGACCGGTAAGGGGATTGTAACCCTTGGCTTGGTGTCGCCCACACCGCGCTCAGCCAGTGAGCGCACCAGCCATCCCTATATATGATCCAAACCCGCAGCCTCGGTGCTCCCAGTGCCGCTGCACTCCCAGCGCCACACTCTCCCGAGTGAGCCACGGGGTCAGCCCAAAGTGTTTACCTTCTAATAACTCATTAAGCTCCACATGTGATTTGTATAGTTTTCTGTATTTGGTTAGTTTGATCCGAACCCGCAGCCTCGGTGCTCCCAGTGCCGCTGCACTCCCAGCGCCACACTCTCCCGAGTGAGCCACGGGGTCAGCCCAAAGTGTTTACCTTCTAATAACTCATTAAGCTCCACATGTGATTTGTATAGTTTTCTGTATTTGGTTAGTTACATAATAAAATGGTTTTAAAAATAGGGAAGGGCTGGCCAGTTAGCTCAGTTGGTGAGTGTGGTGCTGATAACACCAAGGTCCAGGGTTCAATCCCTGTACCAGCCAGCCACCAAATAAAAAGCAGGGGTTGGAAATCAAGTATGAAACAATACCATGTGCCAACGAACTGTAAGGTGGCCCCTGAGAATTCACTCCACCTTCTGGTGTTCATGCCCTTGTGTAATTCCCTCCCCTTGAGACTGTGACTGGCTTCTAACCAATAGAATAAATAAAGGTAAGGCAATGGGACATATGCAATTACATGTTTATATGATTATGTTATATGATTTCATATCTCCCTGACTAAGAGATCATCTCTCTCTTTTTGGCTTAAGTAACTGTACTGCAAAGGCCCATGGGATAAAGAACTGAGGATGGTCTCCAACCAACAGCCAGCAAAAAATGCCGAGGCCAACTACCCACAGGGAACAGAACGCTGCCAACACCCATGTGAGTTTGAAAGCAGAACATTCCCCAGTCAAGCCTCCAATGACACTATGACCACAGCTGACGTGTTGACTGCAGCTTGTGAGACTCCAAAGCAGAAGCCTCAGCTAACCTGTGCCCAGACTCTTGTCCCACAGAAACTGTGAAACAATAAATGTATATTATTTTAAACCACTAAATGTGTGATAATATTATTACACAGCAATTGATAAGTAACATATGTCCCTTATGTTTGGGGGTCCCTAAGACCACACTCAGGTTCAATAAAACACTGGAAGGACTCACAGAACTCAGAAAAGCTGTTATGCCACAGTCACAGTTTATTACAATGAAAGTCTGCAGATTAAAATCAGCAATGGAAAAAGACACATAGGCCAAGGTCCAGGAGAACTTCCAATTATCCTCTCCCAGTAGAGTCATGAGGTCTCCCAGCAATGATGTGTGGCAACATGCATGAAGTATTGCCAACCAGGGAAGCTCAGCCAAGCCTTGGTGTCCAGGGCTTTTACTGGGGATCAGTCACACAGGCATGTCTCACTGCCCACATGGCTGACTTGATCTCCAGCCCCTGCTGACATCAAGCTGATACTACATAGCCCAAGGCCCCCTAAACAAAGACACTCTTATCAGGCAGGATATTCCAGGGGCTTAGAGGTTATCTCCCTCAAGCCAGCCAGGGACTGGTCCTTTCTTTGGAATTTGCAAGGTTCAAACACCCCAAGACTGCTGAGTTAATCCTGTCCGGGGCCAATTTAGCCACATCTGGAGCAGCCAAAGCAGGGTGCTGGTGCTGCTTCAAAAGTGGGATTCTTCAGGAGGATTAACTTCAAAAGTGGGATTCTTAAGTCAAGTTGCCGCCCTCCTTGAAATCAGGGAGAGAGACCAAGAAACCACTGTATTTTAACCCCTGACAAACCTTTACACCTTTACTTGCCTTATGATCAGGGAATTTCCAGGATGTAAGCCATATAGCCAGAAGGCAGGGTGCAGAGGAGAGGAGGCAGAGACCAGACACTCATACAGAAGCTTCTCCTGATCAGCCACTGAATAGAAGGCAAGCTTTCCCTCCTCAAGGTCCAGCCAGATGCCCACTACCTCAGGTCTGTCTGAGCCGAGGATAGTTTCCTTGACCATGTGCCATGCAGAGAGATGGCCTGTTCCCTTCCACTCTACACATGAAGAGTCTATAGTCCTTCCCAGGATAAAGTCACGGCTCATCCCCCAGGAAGCTACTCCAACTGCCCAGTGGCTGCAATACCTAGTGTCCACTTCCCAGTACTGCTGCCCAGAAGAAAGGGCCTGAGAACATAAGACCTGGCTGGTTGAAAACCTGTCACGACTCCACTGATAGGGCTGTGGATAGTGAGACACAGTCACTCTCTGGCAATCCTCGGATACCTCCAGGCTACAGGCCAGGCTGCCCAAGTCAAAGGTTGGATTGATGGCCCCTGGGGAAAAAGCAAGCACATGGCCAGTCAGGTTTTGATTGTCCATGCTGCCAACCTAAATTACAAACAGAAAGAGGCTCTCTAAAAAAATAATGAGCTTAATTGGGATTAGAACATTGCAATAGAACACATGCCATAATAAACTATGTGGGTATTAAGGAAATAGAGACAAAGGATTGTAAAGGAAAAATGATGGAGGTCACATAATTGTTTGGGGATAATTATCCTTGGCTACAGGGACCAATAACAAGAGAGACACCAGTCTGTGGTTGGACAGACAGTTGCTGGACAGATGTCTATGCAGAAGTACTTTTTGTGTAAGGTTGTGATGGCCTTTTTGCAAGGCTGGGATTTTGCAGAGTCCTTTGTGACAGTTCTTGTTATCTGGCATATGTGCATGAGAACTCCCCCCTTTCTGGCCTTCCCCTGGTTCTATTTTTCAGGGTTTTTTAACACAAGCAATTCTGTTTTGATTCTGAAATTTTTCACAATGCTAAGAGGTACTCAAAGAGCAAAAAGCAGCTTCATATCTTTTGATATGATAGTTTTACTCATACTGGCAATAAAATCAGTACATCAACTTGAAATTTTCTGTACATACCCCTGATGTTATTACATCAACAATACCCCTTTCCCACCTTAATTTTTACCCACCTGTTAGCCATCTTTCAGGAAGCCCTCTCTGAATCCCAGCCAGAGAAAAGTCTTGCTTTTCTCAACACCCCTAGTGCTTTATGTGTTCTCTCATGATACTTACCATCTTTTACCTATAGGATGCTGATTTAAGACCACAGCTGTTTATACCTCTCCAGTTAAACTTAAGCTTCCTGATTAAGGAACGTACCTTACTCATTTTGTGTGTTTCATACTGCCGTAGATTGGATGCCCCTCCAACCTCATTGAGCCTTAATCTCCACTGTAACTTCAAGGGTGGGAAATCCTATTATGGTAATTGATAGTTAGGGCCTTGAAGAGGTTATTAGATTCTAGCACCATGCCATAGTGAATGGATTAATAATGGTCCTCAGAGACATGGTTCTGAGGGCTTTAAAAGAAGAGCACATGAGAGGTTGGTCTCTCTCTGCTCCAACATTTTCTGCCATGTGAGACCCCTGGGTCACTGTCACCACCACCAAGACCATCACCAGATGTGTCCACTGGACTTTGGACTTCCCAGCCTCAGAAACTGTAAGCAATAAATTTTGTTTTCTTATAAATCACCCAGTTCAGTTATTTCTGTTATAAGCAACAGTAACAGACTAATAACAGAAAATTGGTACCAGAGAAGCAGGGTGTTGCTTATAACAAATACTTGAAAATGTGGAAACAGTTTTGGAACTGGGAGTTGAGGAGAGGCTGGAGGAATTTGGAGGAACGGGCTAGAAAAAGCCTAGATGCTGGTGAAAGTTTAGAAGACAAGAAAACCAAGGAAAGTTTGGAATGTTTTAGAGACTGGTTAAATGGTGGTGAGCAGAATGCTGATAGAAATATGGACAGTAAAGGCCACTCTAAGAAGACCTCGAATGTAAATAAGAAGGGACTTATTGAAAACTGGTGGCAAAGATCACCCTTGCTATGAACTGGCAAGGAACTTTCTGTATGGTGTCCATGCCCTAGGACTTTGTGAAAGTTCGAACTTAAGAGTTGTGAACCAGAGTATTTGGCAGAAGAAATATCTAAGTAGCAAGTCATTCAGGAAGCTGCATGGCTACTTGCAACAGCCTATGCTGAGTTATGGTGGCAAAGGCATGACATAAAGCCAGAATTTAAAAGGGAAGCAGAGCGTAAAGATTTGGAAAATTGTAGCCTGGCCATGGTAGAGAAGCAGAGAGCATTTTCAGGAGAAAATGCAATGGTACTAAGAAGATTAGTACAAAAGAAAGGGAAAAAGCATTGCAGAAGCCTCTGGGGCCAACCCTTCCATTTCAGGCCCAAAGACCTAGGGAGACAAAATGGTCTAGGGGAACAGGCCTGAGGCGTCCTCCACAGGTTTGCTGCTCAGGGCCACCTCTGGAAGCTGCTTCCAGCACCAGCACCCTGCTTTGGCTGCTCCAGATGTGGCTAAATTGGCCCCAGACATGGTTTGGCCGGACATGCAGCTTAGGAAGCTACAAGTCAGAAGGCTTGGCAGCATCCAAATAGCGTTAAGTCCCTAGGCTTGCAGAATGCCCCAGAGCTGTGAAGGCTTGGGAGCCTTTGCCCCAATTTCAAAGGATGTATGGAAAAGTCTGGGGGCCCAGGAAGAGATCTGTCACAGGGGCAGAGTTACCACAGACAGCCTTTGCTAGAGCAATGCCAAGCAGAAATGTGGAGTCAGAGCTGCAGCAGAGAAACCCCAAAAACGCCATGCCTAGTGGAGCCATGGGAGCAGGATAACCATGGAGACCCCAGACTTGTGGAGCTACCAGGGTGAAATGCCAGCCTGCAAAAATTGAAGCTTGGCCTCAGACCAGGAAAGCTGTAGAAGCGGAGCTGCCCAAGGACTTGGGGACCCAACCCTCACACAGGCGTGCAGAAGATGTCAAATATGCAGTTCAGGTACCTGATTCACCAGCTGTAAGGTTGGTGATGCCTGCACTACTAGGTTTTGGACTCGTTTATGACCTATTACCCCTTTCTTTTCAAATAGGAATTTGTACCCTATGCTTGTCCTACCATCGTATCTTGGCAGTAGATAAATTGTTTCAGTTTCACAGATAAGACCTTGAGACTTTGGACTTTTGAGTTGAAACAAGACTTTGGGAACAAAATGAATGTATGTGTGTGAAAAGGACATGAGTTTGGGGGGTCAGGGTTAGAATGCTGTAGATTGGGTGCCCCCACCCTATCTCACTGAGGCTTAATTTCCACTGTAACTGTTGAGGATGGGAAATCCTATTATAGTAATGAAAGCTGGGGCCTTGAGGAGGCAATTAGATTGTAGGACTGTGCCTAGTGAATGGATCAATAATGGTGGCCAGAGGCATGGTTCTGAGGGCTTTAAAAGGAGAGCTTGTGAGAGGTTAGTCTCTCTCTGCTCTGCCATTTTTTGCCACATGCGACCCCTGGGTCACTATCACCACTACCAAGACCCTCACCAGATGTGTTCAACTGGACTGTGGACTTCCCAGTCTCCAAAACTGTAAGTAATAAATTTTGTTTTCTTATAAATCACCCAGTTCAATTATTTCTGTTATAAGCAACAGAAACAGACTAATACACATACTGTTTCCTACTGAGTGCATAAATCATTGCTAATGCTTATGCAGCATGACTACTGCTGGTGCTTTACACACATTCACGCAGTCAACCCTCACGGCAATACCACAAGAGAAGTACTAGATTATCTCCACTTTACAGATGAGGGAACCAAGGCTTTAAGAGCTTAAGTGACTTGTCTAATACCATAGCTAGGGACCGGAGCTACTGGGAGTCAAACCCAAGCAGTCTGATTCCAGGACCCTTGCTATTAAGGATCACCCCAGACCGGGACAGCAGTAAAACCTAAGCAGCTTGGAGAACAGGCAGTTGGCTGTAATTGGTGGCCCCGGTATAGATGCCCAAAGGTTGTCTGGGCTCTGACTGCTCATAGGTCTGGCTGAGCCTGGAATTTGGGAGTCTCAACCCACTTTGCCTTTGTAACCAGCTCCTCATGTGGAGGGACCTGGTCTGGGGAACAAATCTAGGAACATAAGCCAAGGAATGGGCCTAGAAGCAGGGAGATGGACACAGCATGTTTTCACAGCTCATCTCCGCAGCAGGCCAAACCCAAGTTTTAAGCAGACCACATACTTACATTGAGCAAACCGAGAGGTCCTCTTGGGTGCAGTGGGGCTCTGGTCAGGCAGTGGGCATGAGGAAGAAGATGGAGCTTTTAGGAGTTTCACTAAGGAACCAAAAGAATTGGGAGGAAGAAGTCCCATTAGAAAAAAGCAAACTGAAGGTATCCAAACATCACGATCAGGGCACATGTCTTTCTTCCTCATCACATGCTAGAATGTCACAATGTGATTAGGCAGTACATTCAGCCCAGGCGCATCAAGACCCATGTCCTGACTGTGGGCTTTTTTTTTTTTTTTTTTTTTTTTTTTCCGGGTCCGGCAAAAAATCCCAACCCTCAGTGTTGCCCCCGTACTGGACCGGGGACCGGCAACGGGATTGCAACCCTCGGTGTTGCTCCCGCGCCTCGCTCAGCCAGTGAGCGGGAACCAGTCTGTATGTGGGATCCGAACCCTCGGGCGGGAGCGCCGCCGCGCCTCCCAAGCGGCGCACTATCCAGTGCGCCACCAGGCCGGCCCTGACTGTGGGCTTTTTACTGTCTGTTTCCCCACGGAGCTCTAAGCTCCTTGTGACGAGGGATCTTGTTCATCTCTACGTTCTAAGCACCAAGCCCCATGCCAGCCCTATACATAGGAAGTATCTGATGATATTTATCAAATAAGTTAACTAAGACAGGTCCAGTGGATCATGGCATGCTGGCACCCACGATATACAGGACCCCCATGTCAACGCTTTAAATTGTTGTATGAATAAACTGGGTAACATGAGTTGGTGTGAGATCCATCTCAACTGCTGACACCTCCTAATTCCCTCTCAATGTACTGAAGTTTAATTTTTTTTCCTTTTTTTTGTCTTTTTTCGTGACTGGCAATGGATCGCAACCCTCAGTGTCGCGCCCGTACCGGACCGGGACCGGCAACGGGATCGCAACCCTCGGTGTTGCTCCCGCACCTCGCTCAGCCAGTGAGTGGCTGGTCTGTATGTGGGATCCGAACCCTCGGCAGGAGCGCTGCCGCGCTTCCCAGGCGGCGCACTGTAGCAGTGCGCCACCGGGCTGGCACCCTGTCGAGGGTGTGGGCGGTGGTAACTTAGGTCGTGAGAGCAGGAGAGCTGCCTGTCAAGAGGCCATTCTCAAAATTCAGGTGGTTACTGAAGAAACCCAAGTGTCCATCGAAGGACAAATGGAAAAACACAATGTGGTACATACATACAATGGAATGTTATTCAGCCTTAAAAAGGAAGGACTTCTATAACACCAAGGTCAACAGGTTGGATCCTTGTACTGGCCAGCTGCCCCCCCAAAAGGGAAGGAAATTCTGACACATGCTACAACATGGATGAATCTTGAAGACTTTATGCTAAGTGAAACAAGACAGTCACAAAAAGACAAAAACTGTATGATTCCACTTATGTGAGGTACCCAGAGTAGTGAAATTCATAGAAACATAAAGCAGAACATTGGTTGCCAGGGGCTGGCGGGCAGGGGCGGGGAGGAAGGAATGCAGAGTTGTTGTTTAATGGGTACGGACTTTCAATTTTGTAAGATGAAAAAGTTCTGGAGATTAGTTGTACAACAATATAAACATACTTAACAGTACTGAGCTGCACACTTAAAAATGGTAAAGAGGGTAAACTTTATGTTATGTACATTTTACCACGATTAAAAAAAAAAATTAGGTGGGTATCCCTGTTCTATTTGGCTGATAGGGCTGTTGTGTATTATTGATCATAATCTTTTTTTTTTTTTTTTTTTTTTTTTAAGGGGACCGGTAAGGGGATCTTAACCCTTGACTTGGTGTTGTCAGCACCACGCTCTCCCAAGTGAGCAACCAGCCATCCC